GAGAACCCCAAACAAAAGGAATCCAAAGAGGACCACACCAAGACACATAATTAAAATGCCAAGAGCAAAAGACAAAGAGAGAATCCTAAAAGCAGCAAGAGAAAGACAGTCAGTTACCTACAAGGGAGTACCCATATGACTGTCAGCTCATTTCTCAACAGAAACTTTGTAGGCCAGAAGGGAGTGGCAAGAAATATTCAAAGTGATGAATACCAAGAACCTACAACCAAGATTACTTTATCCAGCAAAGCTATCATTCAGAATTGAAGGTCAGATAAAGAGCTTCACAGATAAGGAAAAGCTAAAGGAGTTCATCACCACCAAACCAGTATTATATGAAATGCTGAAAGGTATCCTTTAAGAAGAGGAAGAAGAAGAAAAAGGTACAGATACAAATTATGAACATCAAATACACATCTATCAACAAGTGAATCTAAAAATCAAGTGAATAAATAATCTGATGAACCGAATGAACTGGTGATTATAATAGAATCAGGGACATAGAAAGGGAATGGACTGACTATTCTTGGGGGGGAAAGGGGTGTGGGGGATGCGGGAAGAAACTGGACAAAAATCGTGCACCTATGGATGAGGACAGTGGGTGGGGAGTGAGGACGGAGGGTTGGGTGGGAACTGGGAGGAGGGGAGTTATGGGGGGGAAAAAGATGAACAACTAATAATCTGAACAATAAAGATTTAATTTTTTTAAAAAAGTAGTTCTAGAAACAAACAAACAAGAAAAGAGCCAAAAAGCTGTGAAGCTGTCATTTAATTGAAGGACCAGAAAGCTGGTAGGAGGCTGCCACAATCTCCACCCCTCGTCTGAGGCACACGGAGGAGAAGACAGCACAGAGGCCCAGCTGTTTGTCCCAGGACTCACAGGCTCCTGCTCTGGGAGGCCAAGCTATGGAATGCTAACTGCTGAAGTAAAATCAGAAGGCGCAGTAATGAGACTGGAGAACTCAGTGGTCCTAGGGTGATGAGACTGTGTTCCCTAATTCAGTGACCTTCCTGACTGTCTGCCAGCAACAGGCCCAGGCTGTGTGGGGTGGAGTTGGAGACAAACACATGATCATGAGCACAAAGGTGCTTGGGTGGGAGCTCAGGAGGGCACACGTTGACCTGATTTGGAAGAGAACGTCTAAAAGATTTGCAATGTCCTAAATACAACTAAATCCTATCAGTACAGCAGGGTGGGACTATGAGACAGGTATGATGAATGGGTACTTCTGCATCCAGTGACCAAGTAATACATGTACGTTTCACTTTGTGACCCACAAAAGTGCAATCGTGAAACCAACGGCACTACGGCGAGAAGAGAAAATAGCCAGTATTGATATTGCGCAGTCCTGGGGCTGGGCAGGGCCCAGTAGCCACCACTACATGCAGCCTGCCCTCTCTCTGCCAGCCCTAGGGAGGCAGACAGAGACACGGGCTGGGCCCAGGCACCAAAGGGTGAGGTGTGGGTGTCCTGGGTTGTTGGAGGAGAGCAGGAGCCCCCATTTGGAAGCTGGGCACTCACACACTGAGAGGCAGCATACCTGGTGCCGACAAGGGGCGCGAGGAGCCCAGAACAGGAGGAGGAGGAGCTGGGTCAAAGCCGTTTACTCCCCCTTTGTCGAAAAAAGACGTATGCCCTGATCTAGAGAACTTTGTGCCGTTGCTATTCATCACCCCGCAGTTAACATTCCTTGAAATACAGGATTTTCATGATGCTTGGTCCTTTGCAAAATTCCTGCAAGCTGCTAATTTGGATTCTAAAGCCCCTACTTTCCGTAAGAGATCCCCCACAATGTTTAGTCCTGATATCCTAGCTGAAGGAGTCGGTGGACTGGTACCAAAACCATTTGGTATAACTTTTGGTGAAGGAAAACTGTTCTCTGTTCCTTTGCCAACAGGAGTTACTGGCAAAGAAAGTGACGCCTGGACAGCAGAGTCCATCTTTTCACAATCTAGAGTTAGAGAACTGGGAGCCGACTTTCTGGTTACTTCCTGTTGTCTTTCCCGAACTGCTTGTTCTTGTCTTAAATCTCTTGCTTTATCCTTTAACCTCGGAACAGAGACCAATAAAGATTTCATCAAGTTCACTTTCTAAAAATGCATTCCATTCAATGGCCTGATGTAGCCTTTATTCAAAGTCTTCCAGTGAAACTATTGTTGCCCTTTTTGCTCGCTAGGTCGTCATTGGCCTGCTCCAGCTCTCACATACTTATGCAACTGCTTCTTAATGGCTCGAGTCTGACTTAAATCATCTTCTAATACTGAGACCTGCTTGTAGCTCTGTGCATATTGATGTTCTAGTTTCTCCTTTAATGCTTCCACTTCATATTTCAGTCTTTGGTTATCAGCTTGCAAGTCTATTTCTTTGTTCAGCCTGTACTAATTGTGCCTCCAACTCTGCTTCTAATTCTCTGCTTCCTTCCTGAAATTCAACTAGTTCACTCCGAGCTTCCTGGAAGCTTTGTTTATACTTTAAGGACAGTTCCTTCCAATAAGCAATTTCCTCCTTTAAACTTGAAAAATCTGGTATGTCTTCACCATCCATGATCAAGAAAGCCTCCGACATATCAAAAGCGCATATTCGCCGCCACCCGACCAGCGTCTCCGCTCCGCTGGCCTCCCCAGGCCTGCCAGCCACTCAGCTCCACTCCCCTCCGCAGCCTGAGCTCCACTGCGTGAACCCCACCGCCCGGCTCCTCCCCACATGTCAGGAGCCGCCTGGGGCCTGAGGCCATTCTGTGACGCACCCATGTTGTTTTTAATAGGAGGCTTATGTGTGAAGTCAATTTGCCAGTCTTGTCCAGGGATTTGGCCCCTAGTCTGATGAGTGGGGAAAGAAGGAAGTCTAACCTGTCCTTGGGGAGATACTGAGTGACAAGTAGAACAGGTTTTGGTGACATCCTGCAGTAGGAAGGCTAGGCTAGGACATGTGCTGAGGGGTTTTAGGAGTTGTAAATGTATCCTATACGTAGGGAACTGTGAATAGCCTGTAAGATATCACAGGGCCTGTCCTTTGAGGAAGGATATATTTTCCCTGAAATTTTAACCATGGATCTTCCTGCATAGCCCCAAGAGCTACTAGGGACTGAAGTTCCTCTGGAGTGTATTAGGGTGTTATATGGGGTATAGCTAAGAGTTGGGGAGACATAGGCTTCCTTTGAGCCACATCTTGGTCTCCTGTCTACTCTTTTATTTCCCTATATTATGGGATCATTCCTGACTCAGTCCTTTGCAGTGTATGACTTTTAAGAAGGTTATAAAAGGGGAGAGACATTCCTAAATAACAAGCAGGAAGACCTGTGAGGCTTTCAATGATTGTGTCAAGAACTGTGAATGAGAGCTGGAAATAAAGAAAGGATGGACCAATTTAAGGATGTAAGTAATAGAAGAGAGTCTGGGCTGCTTTAGCTTACTACGAGAGAAGGGGTTCCTTTGGGACATCAGGGGTGATCAGGTCTTGACTCACCAGTCAACACAATCCTTCCACCCATTCACAAATAATCAGCTTAGCCAAAAAGTAAACAATGAGCATTTACATTTATGAACACACTTTAAACACAGTCTTACTTTCAAGAAAATATACAAGAGACCATGGGTAATAACTAAGAGCAGGCAAATTAAAACATGTCTAGCAATCAAAATTCAGTATTCTATCCTATATGATAAAAGAGAAACATGCAAATTAACTGTCCCTCTGCTACGCTCAACCCAGGCCCACAAGCCAATCACGAGTGCATATGCAAATTAACCCAACTAAGATGGCGGCAGCCACGGAGCTGGAGTGAGCAGGAGGCTTTGGTTGCCCCCAACGATGGAGGAAGCCAAGCTTCCCGCCTGCCCTGGCTGGCCCTGGGCTCCACTCAAGGCTACAAAGTTTTAATTATAGAAGATAAATCCCGGGAAAGAAAAGGAGAGGCTGGGAGTTTGGGTTACCGGGGGGCATGGCCAGCCTGAAAATGGCCATCAGCCCTCACCCAGGCTGGCCAGGCACCCCAGCAGGACTCCCCCACCTTGAAGGGGCTATGGACAGCCTGAAAATGGCCATCAGCCCCTCACCCAGGCTGGTCACACCCCCGTGGGGTGAGGGACCCCACTGGGGGGCTTGACCAGCCTGCAAACAGCCATCAGCCCCTCACCCAAGCTAGCCAGGCACCCCAGTGGTGACCCCTACCCTGAAGGGGGTGTGGCCAGCCTGAAAATGGCCTTAAGCCCCCCACCCAGGCTGGCCAGGCACCCCAGCGGGGACCTCCACCCTAAAGGATGTGTGGCCAGTTTGAAAACAGCCCTCAACCCCTCACCCAGTCTGGCCAGGCATCCCAGTGGGGAACCCCAACCTGAAGGGGGTGTGGCCAGCCTATAAACAGCCCTCAGCCCCTCACCCAGGCTGGCCAGGCACCCCAGCAGGACCCCCACCCTAATCCAGGACAACTTCAGGGCAGACCAGCCAGCCCCCACACATGTACCAGACCTCTATCCTATATAATAGAAGGGTAATACGCAAATTGACCCTTACAGCAGAAATACTGGGAATGACTGGTCACTATGACACACACTGACCACCAGGGGGCAGATGCTCAATGCAGGAGCTGCCCCCTGGTGGTCAGTGTGCTCTCACAGTGGGAGCTCTGCTCAGCCACAAGCCAGGCTGATGGCTGCCAGCACAGCGGTGGTGGCGGGAGCCTCTCCCGCCTCCTCAGCAGCACTAAGGATGTCCGACTGCAGCTTAGGCCTGCTCCCTACTGGCAAGTGGACATCCCCTGAGGGCTCCCGGGCTGCCAGAGGGATGTCTGACCGCCAGCTTAGGCCTGATCCCCCCAGGGAGTCAGCCTAAGCCAGCAGGTGGACATCCCCCAAGGGGTCCCAGACTGTGAGAGGGCACAGGCCGGGCTGAGGGCCCCCCCCCCCCCATGAGTGCACAAATTTTTGTGCACCGGGCCTCTAGTTTTAAAATATTTAGATGTTTATCATTTAACCCAGCAGTGGTACAAAGCCTTTAAGTTACCAAAGACTTTGCAAAATTATTTGTAGGCACATGAGGCTGGAGAAAAAGCAGGTGGAAGAGAGAACAGGCTCAGCAGCCTGTTTTCAGGCCTCTAGCCACTTGGATTTAAAACCATCACATTTTTCCTTAGAGACAACATGCTAACGTTTGGGTGATAATGAGTTCAGCTTCTGATAGTAGCCAGACTGTTAAGTAAGCATTCCTAGTTTTGCAGGAAAGAAAGTTGTGTTCTTTGGGAAGGCAGTGGGGGGAGGTGAGAAGACTCCCAGGTAGGAGTAGTTTTCAGAGCATTAAAGGATCTAAAGGCTCAATTTAGGCCATTGAGACTTATCATTGTCTTCATGTCATATCATAGAGAAGACAGAAGTTGGGAACTCAGAGGTGAGAGTACCCAGCGATTCTGAGAGCGTATTTCTTTTTCAGGGGAGGGGACAATCATGGAGGAGATAAGGCATTTACAGTCTAAGGAATGGCACATCTTTGTGGGGAGATAGTGAAACTGAGGTAGGTGACTGATGTTTGGGACACCTGGGTTTTATGAGGGTATGCGCTGTAGCCCAGATCAGGCACCGAGGTAGAATGAGAAAAGAGTTTAGGCGGGTATTTAGTAAGATGCAGTGTGGAGGTGAGGTGGCTAATGACTGTGAGAGTAATCTGTCAACCCCATAATAGAGAATGAGGAGGGGAGAAGGCTCTTAGCGAATTCAGGCACAGCAGAATAAGTGGTCCCAGTGTCAATTAAAAAGGAGATTGGCTTACCTACCACCAGATTGTTACCTGAGGCTCCGTCCTGGTGATGTAAGTCTGTGGGGCCTTGTCAGAGCCTGGGCAGCTTCAGTCTTTGGTGGCCAGTCCCAGGAAGTCTGGGATCCCCAAAGCAGATCCAGAGGGTGGTCTTGCTGGACTGGTTGAAGTCTGACATGGAGGGGCCAGACTGCAGTCTGATTTCTAGTGGCCTTCCCTTCTGCACCATGGGTAAGGTCCAGGCCAGGGTCTCGGGTTTGAGCAGGACTTGGTCCAGTGTCCTTCCTTGTTGCATTGGAAGCATGGGCCCAGAGAGGCTTACCCCCTGGCTCACCCTCGGTTGGAGGACCGGCACTTCATTTGGGGTTTGTGAGAGCGGTGGCTAGGGGCTAAAAGGCCTTCATGTGGGCCTCAGCCTTGGCCTGATCTCACCTTTGTTTTTGGATATTGGTCGCCTCATCTCTATTATTAAAGGCCTTAAGGGCCAGGTTAAGAAGGTCTTTTTGAGAGGTTTGTGGACCTGTGTCTACTTTTTGAAGTTTATGGTGTATGTTGGGAGATGATTGAAATATAAAATGGGTGTTCAGAAGAAGGGCTCCCTCTGGCAAGGTGGGTTCTAAGGTAATAAGTTTGTGTAAGGCCTCTGTGAAGCAGGAGGAGGAGAGCTGGGTTTTTGTCGGGGCCTTGAGTGATTTCATTAAGTTTGTCATAATTGACCGCCTTATGGGCAGCCTTTTTGAGGCCGACAATGAGACAGGCTACAGAGCCAGCGCCCTGGAGAACTGACTGCTAGTCCCATCCTGGGCCAGTTTGGGGGACCACATTAGCGCCACCTAGGTGGCCACCGAGTGCTATCTATGGAGGGCACAGCATGCTTCTGAGCTGCTCGTCAGACATGCTCCTTCTCTGGGGTTAGAGAGGATGACAGGATGACTTAGATGTCATGCCAGGTCAAGTCATAGGACTGGGTCAGGTACTTAAATTCCTTAGTAAAGGTGGTCGGGTCGGTGGAAAATATCTGATATGCCTCTCAATTTGTGTGAGGTCGGACATGGAAAATGGAATGTGTACCCAGATAATACCCTCAGTTCCTGCTCCCTCCCTCGGGTACAATGGGTGATGGAATAGAAGGAGCTGTTGAGGAAGGCAGTCATAGGGTAGCCTGAGAGCAAGTGTTAGGTGGGAAAAGGTTGTATTGGAGCTCGAGTTTTGGGATTTGGATTCTCAAGGGCTGGAGGAGAAGGTGGTTGCTAGTTAGGAGGGTCTGGGTTTTGGCAATCTACTGCACTTGAGGGAAGGGATGTGTAAGGGGATGGAGGTTGTTGGTCTGCTGGGTTGAAAGTAGATTCAGAATTAGAAGTATTAGGGGAATGATGTTTTGTGTGAAGGAGAACAGTCTGACGGGCAGAGTAGGCCTGGACATAGGGAACCTCTGATCATTTTCCATTGCAGTGACAGCAATTATCTATCAGTGGTTCTCAACCTTCCTAATGCCGTGACCCTTTAGTACAGTTCTTCATGTTGTGGTGACCCCCAACCATAAAATTATTTTCATTGCTACTTCATAACTGTAATTTTGCTACTGTTATGAATCATAATGTAAATATCTGATATGCAGGATGTATTTTCATTGTTCGCGACCCACAGGTTGAGAACCGCTGATTAATGCGTTAAAATTAAAAGTGCCATTTTTAGGCCATTGAGACTTCTCATCTAGTTTATATTGTGGCCAAACAGTGTTACAAAGGAAAATGATATAGTTGGGCATGATCTCTCCCGTGAGTGTGTAGAGGGAGCGTGACGTGGCCCACGAGAGAGGAAGAGTGAGTGACAGACCAGAAGCCCAAAGGTGACTGTTTAGGGCAGGCATCCCCGCAGCTAAACAAATACCATGGGAAGTGAGAGGTGACCCTCTGGACCCCAATCCAGAAGGGCCCAAAGCCAAATGGCTGAGGATTCTTCTGGCCTAGCGCTAGGACTTTTGAGGCGAGAGAACGCAATGAGAAAGAGTGGGCAGAAGACTGGAGATGAAGGAAATTGTGGAATGTCACTCACCTAGAGAAGATTGGCTGGTGTGGGATGGAGGGTCAGCAAAGGAGAAGTAGAGATTCCTGATCCATTGTCTTCCTTGGCTGGTTCGGGAGGGTCTATAAGGGAGGGAGGCCCAATCAAGGCCAGCAATGAAGTCACCCAAGTAGGATTCGGAGGTAAGCCCAGGATGAGCTGCTATTTTCTACTCTCCGTGTAGCAAACTCGGAGTGACCAAAGCTGGGGCGATGTCTCCCCATCCCCATGGAACCCTCTCAGGTTTCGGCACCAAATGTTAGGATTGCTGAAGGAGGAAAGCATGAGGCCAAAAAGGGTGAAGAATTATGAATTTATTAGGTCATCTTGATACCCAGATGAGCTGAGCCCCAAAATGGCACCACCCCCCAAAGACAGAAGTTTTTAAAGGACTCTAGGCAGGCTTTTTCTGGATGGAGAATTCTCTGTGCAGGTCTGAATTCTGGGAAACTCCAGAGGGTAGAGAGGATGGTCTTAGCAAGTGAAATGTGGTCTAAGCAAGTGGAATGTCCATTGTGAAGTAACCTAAAGGTCAGTTCCCATGGGAGGGGATATCGATTCAATTATTTGATCAGACCCAACAGTAAATGGTTGTAAAAAAGAGGGACATTTTCTGAGGTAGGCTTCTACCTTTTCCTAACATTACTCAGAGGAAGAACAGACTAGAAGACAGAGGACAGCAGGTGTGGACAGGAAGAAGTTCTGTGAATGACAAGGTAACCTGCAAGAGTGTACACTGAGGACTGAGCCCTGAGATAATACAGGCATTTCGAGGTCAATTGGCCTCTGTGCTGGGCAAGGATACTCAGCAGCCTGAGCCCATACCTGGCAGTGGTTGCCAGGATCTCAACAGACCATTTTCTTTCCACAAATTCCTGCCAATGCTGAATCGATTAGGTGTACAGTATTCTGGAGCTTATTTTAGGGCCTCACACACTTGTGGCCTCTGAGAGAGTGGTGTGCTGGGACTGTCTACTGCTGTTGTGACTTGGGTACTTTGAATGGACACAAAGCTTAGATTCCTAAGGCCAGGACTAGGGCTTCATGCAGTGGATCTTGTTTTTGGCAACCAGTGTAATGAGGGCGAGGTCCTCTAGGTTCCAGAATGTGCAAAGGCTTGGAGTGAAGAGCGAGCTGAGTCAGGAACCGGCAGGTGTATTTTTAAAATATATATATACATATATTTTTAGTTGTAGAAAGGAAGGGGGAGGAAGAGAGACAAAGAAACAGTGATGAGCAAGAAACAAGGATTGGTTGATGCCTGCACAACCCCTACTGTGGATCCAGCCCACAACCCAGACATGTGACCTCACCAGTAAATGGGTCAATGCTCAACCAACTGAGACACATCAGCCAGGACTGTGGATCACTTTAAATATTTTTTTAAAATATATTTTATTGATTTTTCACAGAGAGGAAGGGAGAGAGATAGAGAGTCAGAAACATTGATGAGAGAGAAACATCGATCAGCTGCCTCCTGCACACTCCCCACTGGGGATGTGCCTGCAACCCAGGCACATGCCCTTGACCGGAATCGAACCTGGGACCTTTCAGTCCACAGGCCGACGCTCTATCCACTGAGCCAAACCGGTTTTGGCGATCACTTTAATATAAGGAATCCTTGTCGGGATGGTAATGGTGGTAGTAGCTCAGAAGGGACAGTGTGAGCCTGAGGACTGGCTTTTTGCTGGGGCCACTGTTAGTGGGAGGTGGGTGTCACAACACAGCATAGGGACAAAAGTTGTCATGTAGAGTGTGGGGGAGAGGTAATCATTTTGCAGTGGCCAAGGCCTTTAAAAGATGAGAGGACCTGAAATTAATTGGAGGTCGAAGAGTAATTCAACAAGATGAGATTGGATTGGTACATATTAACTTCTCTAAACACTTAGCAGGATATTGGTGTGACCCTTGGTATGGCCTGGCTGTGGGGGTAACAGGCTTATGGGTTAGCTTAGAACAGCGGTTCTCAACCTGTGGGTCGCAGTCCCTTTGGGGGTCGAACGACCCTTTCACAGGGGTCGCCTAAGACCATCGGAAAACACATATGATTACATATTGTTTTTGTGATTAATCACTATGCTTTAATTATGTTTAATTTGTAACAATGAAAATACATCCTGCATATCAGATATTTACATGACGATTCATAACAGTAGCAAAATTACAGTTATTAAGTAGCAACAAAAATAATTTTATGGTTGGGGGTCACCACAACATGAGGAACTGTATTAAAGGGTCGCGGCATTAGGAAGGTTGAGAACCACTGGCTTAGAGGCTTGAGTGGTCATCTGTGAGACTCACTAAGCATGCTAGAGAGGGCCAGCGCGGCTGGGACTTGATTAACGGTTAAGAGGAGAGATGTTGGCTGTGACTTGGAATGGACATCAAATGCAGCAGCAGGGGAGGTGGGCTCTGGGTATCTGAGATCTGATTGTGGTTCTTCATAGGTTAGATTGAAGGAAAAAACAGCCATGGAGAGAAGCCCTCATAGAAGAACTCAAGGCTGCCTCTATGAGTGTGGACTATCAGAGTCTGGACAGTACTTGATCCTGATAGAATTTGGCAAGCATTCTCTAGAGCAGTGGTTCTCAACATTCTGGCCCTCATGTTGTGACCCAACCATAAAATTATTTTCGTTGCTACTTCATAACTGTAATGTTGCTACTATTATGAATCGTAATGTAAATATCTGATATGCAGGATGGTCTTAGGTGATCCCTGTGAAAGGGTCGTTCGACCACCAAAGGGGTCGCGACCCACAGGTTGAGAACCACTGCTCTAGACCATACATGCTGAGTAATAAGTAACAGGACAAGGATGTGATGACTACGGGGGCCAGAACTGTAGGAGTGCAGGTGAGAGAGGTATGGTAGAAAGAGTGATGTGCACTTGGAGAGAGAGTGTGAGTTCATGGCCAGAGCACCCTGACATTGACATAAGAGTGAATGAAGGGCAAGTCTACATCTGGAGGTGTCTCAATGATAAAATAAGGGGAATTTTAGGGTTATTGCCTGAAAAGAGGGGTGTTTTGGTGCTACCAGCCAGGTACAGAGCTTAGATGACATTTTTCAGCCCACCTGCCTGTTGTTGTTGGGGGCTGACACACTAATTGTTAGGAATACATCAGTGTTACCCAGGCTTGAAACTCTCCACTGGTATGGGTAAGGGAGAAGGGTGAGAGAGAAATGCATTATAGAGGTGGTAATCTATAATATTGGAAAATAAGATAATTAGGAAACAAACTGTCCTCACTAGGGCAGATTTGCATTACCTTTGAAGTTGTGCCTCTGGGAATGAAGCTGTGTGAGAGGAGTGTTGTTCAAAGAACTATGTGCAGCAAGTGGTACAAAGTGATGGCCTCAGCACCTTGGGATTAGAGTCAAGAGGGTGAAGTGTGATGCCATGTACTTGGTGTCTTTGAGGAACAATCTGAGGGACTACAAGAATATTGCCTGACAAGACCAGGATCAAATCACTCACACTCTCTTCATGGCCACCATCTCTTTCTATCCTATATTCTTGACACCCACTCTGTTAACAAGAGGCAGTGTGGCATTCATGGGAGGCCCAGAGCTCAGGTATCTTCTGTCTGCTCAGCTGCCTTTATTGTTGTGGGAAGAAAAATATCAGTCGGAATATTAGATGACAGTGGCTTTCATGGGATGAAGGCCTGGTATATTCTATGCTGTATGGAGTGCAGAGAGCTGATGGGTATGGAGGGTGGGGAGTATGATAGACTTGGAATGTTAGAGTGAATCTGATCATGGGCTGAACTGTCCCCATTATGACAGGATGTGAACTTTGAGGACGTGGCCATTGTCTTCTCTCAGGAGGAGTGGGGGCTCCTTGATGAGCCTCAGAGACTTCTCTACTGTGATGTGATGCTGGAAGTTTTTGCACTTATATCATCTGTAGGTAAGTTCTTCACATTCTCCCCGTGTCCTGAGATGATGTCCTCTCTTCCTTTATTCCTCAGATGTAGCTTTTTCTCTCCTACAGCAGACCATGAGCTCTGCTAATTTCCCCCACTGTCATGTCAAATGTGCTGTGGCTTCCGTGGGTGAGATCTGGTCAAGAGCCCTGAGTGATAGACTCCACAAACATCCCTAACACCAATTGCCTCAGAAAGGGCAGGATGTGTCTGGGAGTCAGGAGTTTTGCAGACAGCTTCCTGGGTCCCACCTGCTGTTCCTCTCTCTGAGAGGGTGAGTATGTCCAGATCCATGGCTTCCATTTCTACCTCCTTCCTCTTGCCTTGCTGACTGCCTGTGCCAGGTTATGGCCTTTACTTACATGTACCTTGAGCTGTTCTTACAATTTCCCACTTAAATTGTTGTTTGTACTATTATCTTCTATAAATACTATTGTAAGCCAAATTGCTCTAGGCCAGTGCTGGATGCCCATCTCTGTGGTCTTTCATTAATACTTGGAATTTTTAGGTTGTACATATTTGTAGAGAAAAACGTGCAGGGAGAACCCTGGTTTTTTCACAGGGTGAACATGCAGGATGGTTTCAGAAGAGGCCTGACCCTGTTGAGTTGCAACTGTGGGCTAGATATGATATAAGGGTGGTGTTTAGATGATACCAAGCCCCTGCTCATTTCCATCAGTGTTTAGGTGCAAGTACCATGGGCAATAGCACATTTCTACCTTTTCTTTCCCAAACTTGATACTGTGCTGACTTGTCATTTTACCTGTGACTTCCTGGGTTTTGTGTACCTTCAATTGTGTGGCCTTTTTGCCTCACTCTTCATCCGCATTGCTCCATCTACAGCATTCTACAACATTGGCATGCACATCTGCTATGAGATGCACATACTTGCTCAAGTAGACCTCAAGCGCTAGCTATTCATTTATTGAATTATACTTGGAATAAGATGTAACCATATTTCAGCACAGCTTTCCCCTGTCACCAGCAGACAAGCCATGCTGAACACTATTAGCAGAAGAATGAGCTGATGATCCTGCTTCTCTTCCACGTGGTGCTTACTGCCGTGTGTCATATTTTGTTTGAGGTCTTCCTTGTTTTGTGATCTTCAGTAGGCCAGACCTTCATGGCAGCATCTTATAAATCCTTCCTACAGATCTTTTATTGTCAGACAAGCTGCATGGAACCAACATGTTATGTGCAATACAGTTTTCTAAAAAGACTTCCATCTGTCACCACAGAATTCATTTCCTCACCATTTTACTATTTTCAGGTTGTTGGCATAAAAGAGATGATGAGGAGGCCAGTTGTGAGCAGAGTGTATATGTACAAGGAGAGTCACAGGTCGGGGCTTTTAAGACAGCTCCAGCAACCCAGAAGACCCATCTTTGTAAATGGTGTTTCTCAGATTTAAAAGATATTTTGCACCTGACTGAGTTACAAGCAGCATACTTTAATAAGAAAACCTTCTGCACTGACACATGTTTGAGCGACAACTGTTTCAGTGCAAACCCTCACCAGCAACAGAGAGATGCCAGTGGACAGAAGCCCTGGAAAGAAGATATGGACAGGGCCTCACTTGTGTCCCAGTGCAGCTTTTACTTAATATGGGTGCCTTCAACCACTAGGGAGATTGGGAAAGACTTTCCAGCCATCTCAGACATTCTCCAGCACCAGGATACTTTTAACACTGCGGAGCCACACAATGGTAATGAGATTCCACAGGAATTTCTCAGTGGAAGAAGTCATGACGAGTTGAGTGCATGTGAAAAAGCTGCCAGCCACAACCAGAAAGTTATTCAACATCAGGGTGTCTGCTCTAGAAAAGTGAATTATGAGTGTAACAAATGTGGGAAAGCTTTTAGAGAATTATTTAATCCCATTCATCATAGAAGAGTTTACACTGTAGAAAAGCCATACAGGTGTAGTGATTGTGGGAAGTCCATCATCCTGAGGTCCAAACTCATTCAACAACACAAAGTCCACACTGGAGAAAAGCTGTATGAGTGTCATGATTGCAGGAAGTCCTTCAATCAAAACAGTACCATCACTCAACACCAGAGAGGTCACACTGGTGAAAAACCTTATGAATATAATGAGTTTGGGAAATCTTTTACCCGCAACAATCACCTCCTTATCCACAAGAGAGTTCACACTGGAGAAAAGCCATATGAGTGTATTTACTGTGGGAAGTCGTTTACACACAGGTCTGCCCTCACTCAACACCACAGAGTTCACAGTGGAGAAAAGCCGTATGAGTGTAGTGACTGTGGGAAGTCATTTTCACACAGTTCTACCCTCACTCAACACCAGAGAGTTCACAGTGGAGAAAAGCCATATGAGTGTAGTGACTGTGGGAAGTCATTTACACACAGTTATACTCTCATTCAACACCAGAGAGTTCATAGTGGAGAAAAGCCATATGAGTGTAGTGACTGTGGGAAGTCATTTACACACAGTTATACCCTCATTCAACACCACAGAGTTCACAGTGGAGAAAAGCCTTATGATTGTAGTGATTGTGGGAAGTCCTTCCGCAAAAGGTCTACCCTCAATGAACACAACAGAGTCCATACTGGAGAAAAGCCATATGTGTGTAGTGATTGTGGGAAGTCCTTTAGGCAACGCAGTAACTTCACTCAACACTGGAGAGTTCACACTGGTGCAAAACCTTATGAGAGAAGTGAATATGGGAAATCTTTTACCTGCAATAATCACCTCCTTATCCACAAGAGAGTTCACACTGGAGAAAAGCCATATTAGTGTAGTGACTGGGAAGTCATTTATGCACAAGTATACTCTCATTCAACATCACAGAGTTCACAGTGGAGAAAAGCCATATTAGTGTAGTGATTATGGGAAATCATTTTGCAAATCTCTACCCTAGTTCAACATCAGAGAGTTCACCCAGGACCGTGGTCAGCAAACTGAGGCTCGTGAGCCACATGTGGCCCTTTGGCCCCTTGAGTGTGGCTCTTCCTAAGCCTTAGGAGTACCCTAATTAAGTTAATAACAGTGTACCTACCTATATAGTTTAAGTTTAAAAAACTTGGCTCTCAAAAGAAATTTCAATCATTATACTGTTGATATTTGGCTCTGTTGACTAATTAGTTTGCCAACCACTGACCCAGGAGGAAAGCCCTATGAGTGTTCTGATTGTGGGAAGTCCTTCAGTAATAGCAGTAACCTCAGTCGACACGGGAGAGTTCACAGTGGTATAAAACCTTATGAGTGTAGTGACTATGAGAAATGTTTTAGTCGGAAACATAGCTAAACACTTAATACTTCACATTACAGAAAAGCTTTAAATATACAGGGAATTTTTTTTCCCCACTCAGAATTATAACACTGAAGGAGACTCCTACAGACCCATTTTGCTGATTTTAAACCCTTTTTATCAGAACATACACTGTGCTAGATTCCTCATAAGTTTCAGGAATAAGTGAGCCTTTAAAGTGTTACATTGCACTTGCTGTCATGCACAGGCCTCCTACCCCATGGATGTCACAGTGAGTATATGTGGCTGCAGTGAATCCACCTCTACCACCTGGTTCACCTGAACTGTGTGCCTCTGGGGGTAAGTCATTTATGCAGTTCTCAATCCTCATTCAACATCAGAGTTTAGACTGGGGAAAAGCTATATGTATGTAATGACTGTGGGAAGTCTTGCATGCTCAGAAAAAATGAAATCTGCGTTCTTCTGTTTGAGGAAATGATGAGTACTCCGAGCTCTTAGGATCTTCACTCCTATGTCTCTGACTAAGGAATGGACCTAACCATTGTTTCCCCCAGACCACAATCGTAAGATGTGCTACACCTTTCAGGGACATTGTGCTTCTCACATTGTGCTGTGATGAATTTTTTCAGGTAGTTATTCACCAACATGCAAAGCACTTGCTGTGTATGGCAATGGTTTATGATCTTTTTGTAAAGGTGTTTTGGTTTTTTTTGCAATTTGTACCTTTAATTTATTGGTTCTATTCTCTGCCTGGGATGAATTGAAAGCACAATTGTGATCTGTCAGCAGGTAGAGGTGAAGAGATATTGTGGGGATCCCAAACTTTCAGTGCTTCTGAAGGGACATCATGATGGCAGAAAATCACTCTTTGGCCATTATTTGCTTATTTTGCATTTCTGCCAAAAGCCTTGAAAGCAAGTCTGCAGGACTTTATGGTTCTAATTTGCAGCCTGGTACCTCTATTATTGGTGAAGTCAAAGGTCACCCTGAAGAGGAGGTCTTTGTTGTGCTTCTGTGAACACTATGAATCATACTCTCTGTTCACAGGGTGTATGACAGAAGTCTCAGCTAATAACCGATATGCTGCGATGCACTCAATTTCATAGGCTGGTGTCGTTTGTTGGAATCTGAGGACTAGGTACAACCTCAGTTAGGACAGAAGCACTGTTTCCATAGTGAGTGGGAGAGACTGCAGTAAATTTGAAAAATGTCCCAGGGCCTTGCATGATGTTTGTGTACAGATGTTCTCAGGACCTCCATACCTGTTTACTATGACTGAAGTCATTGGCAGAGAAAATAATCTTATAATTTTGCTATTCTGCTGGCCCCCCTAGGGTGTTCACCTCAAGGTTGATGCTCAACATACAAGAATTCAAAGGTAGAGGAAGAATAATCCTGTAATCAATCCCTGGATGTGTTTTGTAACTGGTCAACATTTCTGTTTATTCTGATGGCAATAGTGTGAATTGCTTACTAACATTACCTGCCACTGAGGCAAGGCTGTTCCTCCCAGGATATAAGAACTGACATGCTGCCGGGCCAGTGTGGCTTAGTGGTTGACCTATGAACCAAGAGATCAAGGTTCGATTCTCATTCAGGCACATGTCCAGGTTGCAGATTCTATCCCCAGTGTGGGGTGTGCAGGAGGCAACCAATCAATGATTTTCTCTCATAACTGATTTTTCTGTCTCTCCCTCTCCCTTCCTCTCAGATCAATAACAATATTTTCTGAAAAAGAAGAACTGACAT